CTACTACTACTGCTACTTCTACTGCCACCACTACTACCACTTCTACCACTTCTACCACTACTACCACTGTTACCACTACTACCACTACTACCACGACTACTACTGCTTTCACGACGACGACGACTACTACTTCCATTACTACTACTCCTACTGCTACTGCTACTGCTACTGCTACTGCTACTGCTACTACCACTAGTAAAAGTTATAGGGTTGTTTATACCATTAATCGTAAGACTAACAGTAAGAATGAAAGCGGAAGTATTATCCACAGTTAAAGCAACCAGAACAATAGCCATCCAAACAGTTCAAACATATCAAGAAAAGCAACCACGGTAAGCAACCATAGCAACCATCACAACAATCATAACCAGAACTAGAACGATATACTAATAAGAAGAAGAATAGCAACAATAAAAACCTCATAACCACAAGAATCATAACAATAACAACAATAATCATAATACTAATAATAATGAAAATAAAAATAATAATAATATCTATTATTATTATTATTATATAAATGATAATAGTAATAATAATATACTCCTAGTGGCAGCAAGTGGCTGCTGAGAGGGCTCCTGAAGTACCTGGGCCTCCTGGAGCGCTGCTGCTTCGAGGCGGAGAAGATCCAGGCGCCTTTTTTTTGTGTTTTTTTTTTTGGGGGGGGGGGAGACCGCTTTGAAAAAGAGGCGGTTTAGGGTTTAGGGTTTAGGGCTTAGGGTTTAGGGATTTAGGGATTTAGGGGTTTAGGGGTTTAGGGGTTTAGGGTTTAGGGATTTGGGTTCCGGAGGGTTTGGGGTTTTGGGGTTTGGAGCTTTTGGAAGTGTGGGGATGAGGGTTTTGAGGCTTTATGGGTTCTCTTGCCGGTTTAGAGATTTGTTTCAGGATCTGAGAGGGTTTTTCGCGGCTAGTGTTTGAGCAAGCTCTCGAGATGCTGTTGTAGGGCTCTCTACATTGACATTTTGTACGGGGGGTATGTATGGTACCGTGTATGAGGGTTTGGGGCTTGGGCTTTAGGCTGGCTGCCTAGTTATGGTTTTTTTCAGGGAGTTGAGCTTTGGGGTTTAGGGTTTCGGCATCGTGCCAAGGGTGCACGGGTTGGGGAGTAAGTGAATCTGGCTTAATATAAAGAGCCCTGTAAGCCCTGAGCCCTACGCCTTACTGCGCCTGATCCTTGAATGCTGAGTTGAGTCCCAGCTCTCATTACATGAGCTCTTTATCCTGAATGCTAACCGGGGCACTCGAGCCTGAGCCCTGCGATCCTGCCCTGACGATGCAACACCAAAGACCCTGGCATGGCAAACGGATTGCGGAGTGTAGTTCGGACCTGGTATTCGCTAATCCGATGCAAGAATACACAGGTCGAGGGTGTCAATTGTTTCACGAATCTGCACATTTTCGTTGTCGTGGGGTTGAATTTCGACATGATTTGGTTTAGGCTTTACGCTCGGTAAACCGTCATCTAGGCGAAGAGTGTTGCACTCAGGCTTGTTTCGTGGCGGAGCTATTAGAGGCTCATGCGAGCGCATGAAGCAAGAACGTGGCCCCACGCAAAGGCACAGCCTAGGACAAGCATCGATTCTCAAAAGGTCCCAAGTTTGCATACTGGATAATGCTAGACATCGGATCTTCCAAAGTGTCTTGAGCAGCATGGGTCCTTGAGCTTCACTCTGGTTCTCATCATCTCCTAAGTTTTTTGATGCTGTTCTCGTCCCCATCCGCATCCTCATCCTCTCCTTCATTGTCGCTGCCATCACCACCAAACCACCATCACAACCCTGATCCCATCATTATCCTCATCTGTACACCATCTCCATCCCCATCCGCCTCTTTATCACCATCACACCCCCTTCAGATACGCGGCTCCAACACAGACTATCAGAAGGCAGAATGATGTTTTTCACTGGCCTCACCCCGCCTTTAAGGTAATATGACAACCTACGATCCAAGATATCGCCCGTCAGGCACGCATGGACAAACGCCAAGAGAAGGCAGGGCTGCTTTCAAGAAGTTTTTCGGGGTTTTGAAAGGAGTGTTGGGTTCTCGCCTCGCCTGTGGCATTGGAAGCTCTGTTCAGCTTCGAGGACCTGTGCCACGAAGTTCAGGGCTTGGGCTCCAGAGCCCAAAGGGTAAAGGGGCTTGCGCACAGCGTGCATGCAAAACACGTACCAAACCCCTTTAAACTCCAAAGACCTGAGCCCTTAGCCCTAGATTGGCCTAGAAGCCAGAAGCGCTGAACCCAAGGCCTTGGAATTTCAATTTCTAGACCCTAAATCTTCGAAAAACCCCAGAAGCCCTGAAACCGCAAAGCCCCAAATCCGACACCCCAGGAACCCTATCCATGCGAGAGCTTAAAGCCTTAACCCTTAATCCCAAAACGCTCAACCCTACAGCCCTTGCTAGAGCCTTTCCCAAGCCCTACAGAAGGCCTACAACGCCCCTGTAACAGCGCAAACCTTGGCCCCAGTTCCGCTCGGCCAAGCTGGGCAGCTACGCCCAAGAGCGGGCAGAGGAGGCGGCTCCTTCTGTGGTGTTTTAGAAGAGGGCTTTCAAGGGTCTTCGCAAAACCCTAACCCCTGCCCCCCCTCCGCTCCGAAACCCAAACCCCTAAACCCCAAAAAGACAGAGCCAAAGGCGGTCGTCGACGTCTTCTCGTCGGCCAAGGGGCTCGAGCTGCGCATCCAGGCTTGCTGCAGCCCGGAGACCCAGCTTTGGCTTCGAGGGTTTTTGGGGTTTGGTCTTAAGTAGGGTTGTGGGTTTGGGGTTGAGGGTTCAAGCTTGACGGTTTAGGGTTCGGGGTTTGAGTTTAGGGTTCCTCGTTTTGTAGAGGGTCGACTGTATGAAAACCCTACGAGCGTTCTATCTAGGCAGTTTTTGTCACCGCAACCTGGGACAAGTGTGTTCGACAATAGACAGGTTTGGTAGCAGTGTTTGTATGCGCCTCAAGCAGCACCAGAATCACCCGATGTGCTTCCTTGGCAACTAAGGATTGATGGTGTCTTGTTCTAAAACGACTCGGAAGGACCAAACATCAGTAAACCCCAAACCGTTTAAGCTTTAGTTTATGTCTGTTCAGCCTCCAAAATCACTACAACCGGAACAGCATGGAGGAAACGCCAGCTTATGACTCTACCAAACTGGATATCAAACTCAGCACATACAGTCAATTTAGAAGAGATGATTCAGGCTTTGTGTTAGGACTTGAGGTTTGTCGCGCTTCGGGTTTGTTCTGTTTGGATTCCGCACGCAAGTCTGATTCCCGCTGCCGAGTTTGAATTGCCGTACCCGCGCAAGGACGATTCCAAGAAGTGTACCAATGATTTTGAAACCCCCAAACGCTGAACCCCAAACTCTGAGCGAGAAATCCTCAAACACTAAACCTTGGACCCTAAAACCCATAGAGCCCTCGTCAAACCCCTCTGGAACTCGTGTAGAACCACATAGTGCCCAGCTAAAACTGTTGCTTCAACTTTGTAGAACCCCCTGCCGAGATGCGGCAGAAGAACTGCCGGAGACATATGCGTGTGCCCTACACTGGACGTAGAGGGTGGTTTAGGTTCAAAGATTAAAGGGCTTAGGGTTCAGGGTGAACTCAGCTCGGGGGCGGAGCCTCAAATCGAATTCCGGTGCTCCGAAAGTTGTTAGTTCTGTATGATCTCAGAGTTTGTGGGGAACTGTGGTCATGGGTCACGTGCTTCTTCCCATTTATGCTTGCTATTCTTGGAACCAGCCCGTAAACCCAGAACTCTAAAGCCCGGACAAAGCATGCCCAATAGTCGCCCCCCCTACAATGTGTGACATATCCCTAAATTGGCCTTAAACCCTATGAGCCCTATCGCAAATCCCTGAAATGTTAATCTCCCAAACCTTGCAAGAGGTTTGAAAGCTGTCGGGATGGTCGTGTAGTTGGTTTGCGAGCTGTTCTGTTTTTTCTGTCGGGATGCGGGGTTCAGTTTACAGCTCGGGGGTTTAGGGATGGGGTGTAGTTTTTTCGGGGTTCATATAGGTTTGGGGTTCGGGTTTGGGGTTTAGGTTTGAGTTCACCAAGGCAGGTTTTCTGGGAGATCGGACTGTCCGAGCAAAGTGGCAATCACAGTGTTGCTGTCGCCACAACACGCCTTCCTAGAATCCGGAGGCAGGACAAAGTGCACTGAAGCTTTTGACACGCCCTGCTAAGGATTCCATGAACGAGATCGGGGATTTCTTCAACAGCCTGAATCCCTTTCGATAGGAGCGCTGTCTTGGGGTTTCGGGATTTCACTGGGCTTCGGGGTGAGGACTTTGGGGAACTCTGTGACCGAAGACTGCAGGTAGAGCAAGGGCCTGAAGCCTTGGACGACTTACCGATCTTGGGGGCTGATTCTACCGAAGCAGCCCGAAGGGCGAGTATTGCTGACTGGATTCAGACCATCACGGTAGAGGTGTGCAAAAGCTAGCCCAGCCTTGCAGCGCAGAGTCGCGACGCTTCATGCGGCTGGAGGTTTTCAGGGTTGCAGGTGGCTTCGCCCCCTCTTTTGATCTGAAATCCTTGCGGAGCTCCTCAACAAGTGAGGCGTCAGTAAGCTTACATCAGCCCGAAGCCTGTAGGAACCACAGTGCATTCGAAATTCGAAACAGTACGAAATTTAACAGCCGCAAAGCTTGCGTTATCTCGGGAAGGGCACTTGCTGCTCCAAACAGGATTTGGGGTTCCGGGTCGTGTTTCGAAGTTCCCTGAGCCATTGTGAAGGGTCTGACACGCAGTCCGTTTGATGTCAACGTCCTGCTTGTCTCGTCTCCAAAGGCTCCAGATTGTTCACGTACGTACTCTGCTAGGATGGCGGCAGCTACCCCCAAAAAGTCACGCCCTGAGGCCCCTGATCCTTTAAGCAGGCCCTTGACCCGACGGTCTGGGAGGGCTCCACCTAATTTGCCTGATTTGGCAGGACAGCTCCATGAATCCAACGCGTAGTCGTAGTTTAGGGCAAAGTGATTAGCTGTTTCACCTCTGATTTTCCGCAAATCTTCGAGGGGAGCTTGGTACACCGTTGCCACTCCAAATGCCCTGAAGTCCTTTTCCTAGGCTCCTAGCTACAGATCACGAATCTGAGACCTTACAGCTCAAACCTTAGATAGTAGAGGTTACTACTACTCCTGCTTATATTGCTACTATTACTATTGATGCTTCTGCGACTTGAGCCACAGCAACAACAGCTGCCGCTGGAGCTGCTACTGCTGCTACTACCACCGACACCACCACCACCACCACCACCACCACCACCACTACCACCACGACGACTACGACGACGACTACTACTACCACTCCTACTGCCACTGCTTCTGTGACTGCAACTGCAGCTGGTACTGCTACTGCTGCTACTACGACGACGACTACTTTTTACTTCCACTACCTACTAGTAACACTGCTTCTGCTACTGCTACTACTATTATTATTGCTACTACTGCTACTGCTACTACTATTATTATTACTACTACTGCTGCTGCTACTGCTACTGCTACTGCTACTCCTACAACTCCTACTACTACTACTACTACGTGAGTAAGCGTATGGCTCTCGTGGTGTGGAACTGCCTGTGGAAAGCTTGTCTGAACCCTGGACAGCGCGATTGGAGTCATTGTTTGGAGATAGAGCTGTTGAGGTTCTGCCGTGTCCCATTTCCCCTCCCATGTCAGACCCGTCATGCTCGCTGCGCGCGGCGAAGAAGATGTGGAGTGGAGTGTGCCCTAGTCCCTAAACCACCGAAGCCTCAATCTCATGTCGATTCAATCACCCTGACTCCGAAGACCACCAAAATGTTTCTAGGTTCTATCCAAGCCGCACGACTCCCCTTACTGAGATTCAAAGATCTCGAACCACAAGGCGAATCTTTGTGGTCAGTACCACCGGAATGGTGCCGGTAGGTTTATGTGCATTCTTCGGACAAGGCAAAGCCATAATGCGTTTAAGAACAGTGGCAGTAGCAATCGTCATGGCCGTGCATTCGGATACGGCTGCGGGCAACAGCAGTCCTAGTGATCGTGATATCTGTGGAGGTTGTGACGATGAAGTGGGTGGCCCTTGTAGCAACCCTCGGTCCTTGCCTTGACCTACCCGAAATTGGCTTTTGGGCCTAGGCTCTGGACCCCTGGACTTCCGAGAATCCTTCAGAGACCCCCCCCC